TATGAGTACACCACGGTCGGTACCCAGTAAGTATCAAGACTAACCTCAGTGGAGTAGAGACGAGGTACTGTCAAAACACTCACTAGTCTAATAGCATGTGCAATATAATATAAAAAATAATAGAAAATAGATAACAATAAGGGCAACATAAAATAACCAATGATATGCACAGTAAGATAACAAGAACACCATTAACAAATACAATTACACCCAGTTAAATCAAGTCCTTCAAATAAATATCTAAAACACATAATTCTTCCAAATAACTCTCTTTCAAATATAATTCTTTCAATAAATCTCTTCAAATATAATTTCCTCAAATAAATATTTTTCAAATACAATTCTTTCATGTAATACTTTCTAAATAAGAATCCTTCCAAATAAATATTTTGAATATAATTCTTTCAATTAAAAAGTCACCATGTGACACCTCATTTCATAATCATAAAAATACGGGTCTCAATCCATTTTCATGTTTTTCGTAAACACGGGTCTCAGTCCATTTTTCATATTTCCATGGCACCTCATGCCCATAATGAAATCATCATATTTTCCCGGCACCTCGTGCCCTTATTTTACATCACAACTAGACGGACAATTCACGTGCCAAATATCCTCATTATTTATTCACGGCGCCTCATGCCCACATTTCATTTTATAATCCGCCTGGCAATAGCCACAGGCTCTCAATTTTAACATAAATCAGATTGTTATCAATTTACCAACAACAAGACAAATTGCACAAGGTATAAAAATAAACACAAGAAAGTCGTAACATCACATGAAAATCACCAACACCACAACTTCACATCATCACGTATCGTCCCTGATAATAGCCACCCTTATCTCTCATATAGCCACCCTTATCACTCCTATAGTAGTCACCCCTATCCCTCCGCCCTGACAATATCAATAGCCACCATTATCGCTCCTATTGCCACCCTTATCTCTCCTATAGCCACCCTTATCGCTCCGCCCAGACAATACTCCAACAAACACAACAACAGTGAAATGCCACCCTTATACCCACATAATATCAACAATGGAATGCCACTATTATATCCTCAAAATAACAACTCACACAACACAATAATTTATATGAAAAATTACCACGGCAACATAACAAAAACCAATTCATATCACAATTTGCTCAATGGCCATAACCAAATTCCAAAGATACAACCAAATCAATTAATTTCATAACAAATAGCCGAAGGCTCCACACAATGTGTATAACACCACAAAAACAATCAACAGAGATAGAAATTATTCAGCATAAAGCAAAACCTTCATTAATTCAAATTTAGGTAATTATATTAGCACATATTCTTAAGCTTGCTTAATTAATTATTTGCATAGGGAAAACTCATAATGAAAATTAAATTCCAAGAATATCAACCATCAAATTCACGGAATTCACATAGATATACAAGTAATAATTACATCAAATTGTCATATAAAATAAATTCAATAAATGTGATTTGAGGCCTGGCAAATAGATAATTATATATGCCAACAATTATCCAATTTACTACACAATATTCTCAAGACTTTAACTCAATAAATTTTGCACATATAAACTCGAGTACGTACTCGTCGCCTCGCGTACTCGGCTTTTCACATTTTATGAATGGCACATAAGACTCGATGCCTAAGGGGTAATTCCCCCACTCGAGGTTAAGCAAGACACTTATCTTTTTGAAGTTATGCCGATTTTTCAAAATCACCTTCTTACTTGAATTGACCTCCGAACAGCTCAAATCTATCCAAATTAATTGTACAACTTTATTAAAATTCATCGCAAACAATTCCGGATAATAATACGTCGACATAAAATTTTATTCCAAAAAGTCAACAAAAGTTAACGCGGGGGCACCCGCCTCTCGGAACCCGACATATTTTTTACGAAATCCGAACACCCATTCTGATATGAGTTCAACCATACCAATTTTATTGAATTTCAATAACAAATCGACCTCTAAATCTTAAATTTAAACCAAGAGGGTTTTCTAAATTTTTTCAACTTAATTCACCCATTAAATGATGGATTCAAAGACATAATCATGAAAATTAATCAAAACTGGATAAGAATCACTTACCCCAAACCCCCACGCAAGAATCTCTCCAAAAATTGCCTTCTACCGAGCTCCCAATTTGATTTTCTGTTATGAACTCAAACCCCAATTTTTGGGACTTTTAATTTTGCCCAGATAGGCCTTCTTCGCGTTCGCGAAGGCCAAAAACCCAGCTGCCTCAAATTCTTCTTTGCGTTCACGTGGCTAGTGACGCGTTCGCGAAGGTCTGCCCATGCATAGTATCGCGTTCGCGTTCAAGCCCTCGCGTTCGCGATGCCCTCAAGCCTTACTGCTTCGCGTTCGCGAAGGCTAATGACACCAGGCATAGTCCCCTCCTTCCTTCTACGCGTTCGTGACTGGCCCCTCTCGTTCGCGTAAGTTCTTTAGGTATTCCTTCGCATTCGCGAAGGCCAAATCCAGCGGCCTCAAAACTCCTCTTCGCATTTGCGAAGAAGAAAATCAGATACCAGATACAACAGTTCCGAAACAACCCGAAATGATCCGAAACCACACCGAAACACAACCGAGCCCCCCCGGGACCCCGTCCAATCATACCAACCAGTCCCATAACATAACACAAACTTGCTCGAGACCTCAAATCCCATCAAACAACATCGGAATCATGAATCGCACCCAAACTTAATAAACTTTGAAACTTCAACTTCTACAATCGATGTCGGAACCTATCAAATCACGTCCGATTGTCCTCAAATTTTGCACACAAGTCATAATTGACATTATGGACCTACTCCAACTTACGGAATCGGATTCTGACCTCGATATCAAAAAGTCCACTTCCTGTCCAAATCTCCAAAAATTCATCTTTTGCCATTTCAAGCCAAATTCTTCTACAGACCTCCAAAAAAATTTTCGGACACGCTCTTAAGTCCATAATCACCATACGGAGCTATTGACATCATCAAAATTCTATTCCGAAGTCGTTTACTCAAAAGTCAACTCGTCGGTCAACTCTTTCCATTTAAGCTTCTAAATAAGAATTGTTCTTTTAATTTAATTCTGAATCTTCCGAAAATCAAACTCGACCACACCCGCGGGTCATAATACATATTCCGAAGCTACTCGATACCTTAAGTCACTGAACGGGACGTTAATTCTTAAAACGACAAGTCGGGTCGTTACAGTCTGGCTTTATTTTATATTTAATGTGTTGTCTTTTTAATTTTTGGTGTGTCTTATGCCTCTTCATTTTCATTAGTGTGTTTTTTGTCCATTCTAATTCCTTTTGATTTCTTCGTTATTTTCATTTCCGTGTGCATCTTGATGGAATTTTGAAGGCGTCAGAAGGAATTGAATTTCGTGGAATAGACTTTGCGTTGTATTCACATTAGGAGCATATTATTTATCAATATGAATGGCGAATTTTCTTATATGTTCTTGAATATTCATTTTGGGATCAGCGAATGTCATGTTTAGTTGGAATTAGTGTAACCAAAGTATCTGATAAAGCTGCATCTGATGAATGGTACAATAACCAAAGCATTGACACTATGCTCAACATGAAATTGGTTCTTTCATATCATACTGCTATAATCCCTTTTCAGTAAAACATTAGTATATTGCAACTGAATCTAATTTGAAAGCTAAGGGATAAATCTTTGGCCTGTAATAACATTTACGGAAAAGGGCCAAATATACCCCTATACTATGGAAAAATATTTAAATATACCTCTTATTATACTTTGGGTCCAAATATACTCCTTCCGTAATATTATTGATTCAAATATATTCCTCTTCCGTTAACTTTGTCCAATGTGGACATTAAATCCTATATGGCATTAATATTTGATGAGGTGGATGACACATGGCATGCCACCTCAGCGCCCTTAACTCATTTTACCCCTCTCCTCTATTTGTTTTTCTACCCTCTGTGTGGCAACGGTAGCGGAGGGGAAAGAAATTTTACTGGTGCAATCAAAGCTGAAAATCAATTCGATTTCAACCCAAAGCTCACAAACGGTGTCGTAGACGTCCAACACTCTGAACATCTTCTCCAGTGATAACCTTCTGTATTTAGCTACCATTTCAGGGAACAAGAACAGAGTCAATGCACCATCTTTAGTAATCTCCGAGAAGCACGATTCTCTTATGTTGTCGGAGTCTGAGAAGACAGTCACAGAGAATCTTCTCGTCGTGAAACAGAGTAGTAACTGCAATCTTCACAGCACTCAACCAATTCTTGATTTTTATCTCCAGTAATTCCCAATCCATTTTCTGAATATGTGAAGAGCTCAACTTTTCAATTCCCAAGTAATACAAAGTCTCATCGATGACTGATTTTCGATTGAGTTGTAAATTTTCACGCACTCTCTTCCATATTGTAATATTCATAGTAGAATCACGAAGAAATTTTTAATTAGTAAAAATTAAATCTCTTTTATATGCCGTTACTTATTGAGCCATATTTTAGTTTTTCATTTTGATAATCGCGAACAAATTTACTAGTTAAGTTATAAATTAAGACCAATTAAGATTTACGGTCATATCTATGAGGATTGGAAACTAAAGAGAAAACTGATAATTAATCATCAATAATTTACTTTGGAACTTTATAATTCAATAATCCATAAATGGCTAAGAGCCACAGAGCTGTCCTTGAGCCAGTGCACTATCAATTTAACAACTAGGGCCTATAACTATGATTGATGAAGCAGTACAACCAAAAATGCTAGGTGCCAACTTCTGGATATTATTAGGCGAAGCTAAATCCACCCAAAAACAAAACAAAACAAAACAAAACAAAACAAAACAAAAGAGCAATTATGATACGAAACCATAAAGCAACGTCCAGATCATAAGTTATACAGATAATTAGCACGCAGAAAACCATACAGGGCTAGTATATCGACTCACTGGACCATGCTATTATTTGCCGTTCACTTTCCATCAACAACAATATTTTAAAAAATACAGGAATTGTCCTTTCTTGAAAAAAGACTACCAAATAGGGATACTGCCCACATTTGTTAATTAATTTAGAGTAATGAAAGTATGCAAGATAAAATGATAGCTTTAGGTTGATGAATTAAGAGATCTAGTGATAATGGTACCGCCGCCTGTGCAACAAATGGCACTCAAGAAATGCAACAATCACTTTACTGGCCCGACAGTGACACTGAGATACCAACTTGCACTATGATGAATTGATAGTGCAGATAATAGCTTAGTAGGCTCCTCTCCGAAACTGCTAAAACAACTAAATTGTTCATAAACTATGTCACATGGTTATGGCCGTATGGGTATTTCATTCAAAAAAAAAAATATAACGCAACCAAATACTATTACATACGCTAAATGAGCACATGTAACATGGTTCATGAAGCCCAGGTTGGAAGAAGGGATTGGGGAGGGGGAGGGGGATCTCCCTAACTCTCTTTGGTCTGCCAGAAAATAGGAAGGGCAGAAAGAGCAATGTGCCACCATCCAACACCAACTTTTTTGATTCCCTCTTAAGATCCCGTTTGGATTGGCTTTAAAAAGCAGAAATAGCTTATTTGACCGTTGAGGGAGAGAAATGATCGTCTCTATCTATACTTTCTACATTTTATCGCACAACAAAAAGGTAATTATGCTAGAGGAGGTAAATGAATAGAGGGTGACACACTTTAACTTTCCTTTCCCTTTAACTGAACCAAAAAATTTGAAGCTATGTTCAACAGATTCGTTTATGGGTATGTATTGGGTACTGATATGTGCAAGTATCTGGTATGAGTAAGTCGAGCTTTTTGCTAATTTTGAGTGTATTTTAAATGATCATCACGAAGTACCCATACCCTTATCACACCCATTTGACATGGCTACATCAAGGTAAATGAAGGATCCACGTAACAGAAGTCTGAAATGGAGTGTGTGTGTGTGTGTGTGTTGACTGCAAACCGCTGGCTTTGATCCATGGTTGACACAACTCCAAGACTAAATGCCAAAATAACTTTTGGTAACCACCAAGCACCAAATTGGATGTTTCATCAGCTTCTCCACATCCTCAAACAGTGAATGACTGATTGCTGAATAGCTTGTTGACTGCCCAATTAAAAACCTTAATAAAAAGTTAGTGGAGTAACTAAACTAGGAGTGAAATCCATGGAATATCAGGAAACAAATGATAGCAAAGTCATCATAAATGCTCTTCACATCTCTTGTACTATGTTATGTAAGGTCACGTTTCTCTTTATGTTAAAGCTAAATCATGTTAAAGGTTAATGCGTGGAAAGTTGGGACCAGTAAGAGTAGTTTCAACTTTCAATATAATTCACCCCACCAACTCCCACCCACACCCCTTTCTGGCCCCCCCTTCTGTACGAAACACCTATCAGACTTGGTATTTTAGCTCATACTTGCACCAAATCATCTCCACTTACTAGACTTCACATAGGAGGAAAAGTATGGAACTGGTGGTCCTCACACATACTTTCCTTTGTTTTTTTACCTTGGTTTCAAGTTTCACAATCTTTCGTCTGGCTTCCTCATTCTACTTTGGCACAACTAGTTTCTCCTTAGAGAGATGGAAGATAACAAATGGGAAGGGAAGAGAAGCATGAATGAAGCAGAAGAGGAAGAGGAGGAACATGAAAATGTTGAAGAGGATAACAAAAGGAAGAGGGTATTGACTCTCTCCGGAAGGAAGCAATCTAGTGGTGGGCCAGCACTCCCTTCTTGCCAGATCGAGCAGTGCACTGCAGATATGGCAGATGCCAAGCCATACCATCGCCGCCACAAGGTGTGCGAGTTTCATTCAAAGGCTCCGGTAGTACTTATTAGTGGAATCCAGCAACGCTTCTGCCAGCAATGTAGCAGGTAAGTAACCCCGACTTTCTAATGAAAATCTCTAATTTTATCTGTGCCTTTCAAGTTGTATAGTGGAACTATCTCAAAAGCAACTATGTGCACCCCAAAATTCTCTCTTAGATGAAAGTCGCGAGGAACACTAACACACACTTTTTTTTTACTAAGAGAACACTAACAAAGTTGTATTAGCCAATAAATAAAGAAGAATATAATTTTAGTTTGGGTGCTGATTCATTTGATGCAACATATTGGAATCCTCATATATCAAGAACAAATACCAATACTTAAGCTAGAACTAACACATGGAGACAAAAGTGCAAGGCCAATAATCCATTTACAATATGCTACAGGCACAGTATTCAATTTAACTATAGAATGTAAAGGTCCGACGATGTCCATCCCCCATTTCATGAACAGCCATGGGGACAAAACCGAATGCAAGGGTTCTGCCGGTTGGTGTACTAGTGGTGTGTAGCGTTGGCACTTATCACATTTTCGTACGAAGTCTTTGGCGTCTTGTTCCATGCAAGGCCAGTAATATCGTGCCCATACCAACTTCAGCACCAAAGAATCTGCGCCCGAGTGCTTGCCGCATATCCCTTCGTGGACTTCTCTCATGACATAATTAGCTTTTGATGCTCCTAAGCACCGGGTCAGCGGGCCTTGGAAGGATTCTATACAATTGGCCTCTCTTGAAGCTATAACGTGCAGCTTTGGCGCGTAATGCCCGTGATGCTTTGGGGTCTTCGGGCAACTTCCCGTGCTCGAGATAGTCGATTATTTCATTTCTCCAGTCCCAGACCAGACTAGTCGAATTTACCTCATAGTAACCATCCGTATCCAGGACTGAGTTCATCAGTTGTACTATCGTCCCGGACTCCGATCCCTTTATTTCCTTCGATGATCCTAAGTTTGCTAATGCATCCGCTTCTGCGTTATCCTCCCTTGGGATATAAGTAATTGACCACTCCGGGAATCGTGCCAAAAGAGCCTGGACCTTTACCACATATTGTTGCATACCTTCTTCTTTGGTATCAAGATCCCGTAGACCTGATTCACCACCAGCTGCGAGTCACATTTGATTTCGACAACCTCGGAATCAAGTCCCCGGGCCAATTCGAGCCCTGCAATCAAAGCTTCATACTCTGCTTCATTATTAGTTAAAGGGATCGTGTTGATGGCTTGCCTTAAGGTTTCTCCCGAAGGCGTGATTAAAACTATTCCGAGCCCAGACCCTTTTACGTTCGAGGCTCCGTCCATAAATAAAACCTCTGATGTCGATACCGACACCACTACTGCCTCCTTGGTTGCCTGAGGCAGTAGTTCCGGACTAAAATCGGCCACAAAGTCAGCCAAGACTTGTGACTTAATTGCAGTCCTCGGTTATATTCTATGTCGAATTCACTCATTTCGACGACCCATTTGGCCAATCTGCCCGAGAGCTCGGGTTTATGGAGGATGTTCTGCAAAGGGAAAGTAGTCACCACAGCTATCGGGTGGCATTGGAAATAGGGCCTCAGCTTCTGAGCGGCGACTACGAGGGCTAAGGCCAGTTTTTCCAAATGTGGGTAGCGAGTTTCTGCTCCCGTTACAATTTTGCTAACGTAATAAACGGGAAATTGCGTACCTTCGTCCTCCCGGACTAAAATCGCACTTACCGCAACTTCTGAAATTGCGTGGTAGACTAGCAATGTTTCACCTTCTTTTAGTTTTGAGAGATATTTAATCAGCAACGAAGACTTATATTACTACTGTAGAAGCCGCTAAGGAAAGGAGCTTGGAGTAGTAGGGGTATTCTAGGAATTGCAATTGTTTTGGCTTTCTAGGATCAACATGTGGGCTTCAGCTGGCATGGAGAGTGTTTTCGGTATTTCAATGAAATTTGTCCTTTAATTAATTTGTACTTGACGGTTTTAAGATGGCTTGATAAGTACTTCTTCAGGTCCCTTAGAGCCTACTAGCACTCCGGTGTCCATTCGAAATTATTTTTCTTGTTTAGCAGTGTGAAGCGATGACATTTTTCCAACGACCGGGAAATGAACCTGCTCAAAGCTGCTAATCTTCCTGTGAGCCTTTGGACTTCCTTTACATTCGACAATTGATCCGGGATATCCTCTATGGCCTTGATTTTGTCGGGGTTTGCCTCAATTCCGCTTTGTGAGACCAAAAGTCCCAGAAACTTACCAGAACTGACCCTGAACGCGCACTTCTCGGGATTAAGTTTCATGTTATGCTTCCTCGGGATATCGAATGTTTCTTGCAAATGCTTAAGGTGGTCACATGCATTCAAAGACTTAACGAGCATATCGTCTATATAAACTTCCATAGTCTTTCCTATTTGCTTTTCAAACATCTTATTTACGAGCCGTTGATAAGTGGCTCCGGCGTTTTTCAACCCGAAGGGCATCACATTGTAACAATATGTACCAAAATTCGTTATAAACGAAGTCTTTTCCTGATCTTCCGGATTCATCTTGATTTGGTTGTACCCGGAATAAGCATCGAGGAAACTCATCAACTCATGCCCGGTGGTGGCATCAATCATTTGATCGATATTTGGCAGTGGGAACGAGTCTTTCGGGCACGCCTTATTAAGATTTTTATAGTCTACACATATGAAATTTATTGTTCTTCTTAGGAACTACTACTACATTGGCTAGCCAGTCCGGATATCTTACCTCTCGGATCGAACTGATATTAAGTAAGCGGGTTACCTCTTCTTTGACAAATTTATTCCTGGCCTCGGCAACAGGGCGTTTCTTTTGTCTTACCGTAGGTACGTTGGGATCCAAACTCAGCTTGTGCACGGCTACTTCCGTCGGGATACCTGTCATATCCTCGTGCGATCATGCAAAACAGTCGGCATTAAATTTAATGAATTCAATAAAACCAGACCTGAGTTCCGGGTGCAGTCCTATCCCCAAATGGAATTTTCTTTCTAGGAATTTTTCGAACAATGCAACTTGCTCCAGTTCCTCCGCCGTGGACTTCGTTGCGTCCGTCTCTTCTGGAACTTGGAAATATCTCTGCACCTGATAATGTTCTGACGACTCTGCTCCCGGGCTAACTGCTTCTAGCTCGGGAGTAGGTACCGGTTCCTGTAATTGCTATGCCATGTACTCCTTCCCTTTGCTACTGGAAACCGAGATTACATTCATCTCCCTTGTTGCCGGTTGATCACCTCTTATATGCTTGATTCCTTCGGGCGTTAGAAACTACAGCAATTGGTGATATGTTGAGGGTACAACTTTCATCTTGTCTAACCATGGCCTTTCCAGGATGATATTGTATCTCATGTCACCATCTACTACTTTGACGAGAGTTGTTTTCATTACTCTTTCAGCGTTCGTGAGCAGCAAAATCTCTCCCCGGGTCGTCACGCTCGCAAGGTAGAATCCAGCGAGGAGCTTCGTTGCCGGAATAATGCTTCCGGTGAGTTTAGCTTGCTCCAATACTCTCCATTGTATGATATTAGCCGAACTTCCTGGATCTACTAGAACACGTTTAATCTTAAAATCCAACACATTTAAAGAAATTACCAGTGCATCGTTGTGTGGTAACAACAATTCGTTTGCGTCCTCTTACGTGAAAGTGATATCGTCTTCCCGGAGTCTTTTACTATGGGTTATTGATACTTTCGTCTTCTTCGCTGCCGAAAAGGTGACCCCTTTAATCTCATTCCCTCCGAAGATCATATTGATCGTTTGGCGTGGGGGTTCTTCTCCTGCTTTCGAAGGTTCCGCCTTGTCTCTGTTACGACCATAATTGTTCTTACCTTGGTCACTGAAGAATTCTCTGAGGTGACCATTCTTCAATAGTGTTGCCACCTCTTCCCGGAGGTATCGACAGTCCCCTATTCGGTGGTCATTCGTCTCGTGGGATTCACACCATAAGTTGGGATCCCTCTAGCTGGAATCGGATCTCATAGGTGTCGGGAATCGTGCCTCTTTAATGTTTCTCATGACTGACACCAACTTCATTATACTAACGTTGAAGTTACATTCTGATAACTTGGGATAAGAAGGATCCCGAGACTCCGACGTCTCTTTATCCTGAAGTGATTTATTGTTTCGACCACGATCGGTCCCTCTGTCAATGGTGAACTTGTTTGCTGCCCGGAAGTTTCTGCCACGGCCTTCGGTCTTCTCGTAAGGTAAAAACTGGCCCCTCGAAGTCTGTTTGTCCGCGTCGTGGTCATCCTTTTATTTTTCTCTGCTCTTCTCCCGTCCTTTGGCCGATGATGTAGAACTGACATGGTCATCTTCGATCCTTATCTTTGACTCGTACCGGTTGTGGACATCTGCCCAAGTTGTTGCTTGAAACTCAAGCAGCTCTCCTTCAGCTTCTCAGATTCAATCCTTTGGTGAATGCTTCAACTGCCCATTCATTCGGGACAACCGGGAGCAACATTCTTTCTTTCTAGAATCGGGTAACGAACTTCTTCGTAATAATTCGGATTCTCCCTGTGTGATCCTGAATATGTCGGCCTTCTGGGCTTGTACTTTTCTGGCCCCGGCATGAGCCTTGATGAAAGAATCCGCGAGCATCTCAAAGGAATCTATGGAATGCTCGGGTAATAATGAATACCACGTTAGAGCTCCCTTCGTGAGAATTTCTCCAAATTTCTTTAGCAACACAGATTCAATTCCGTGAGGAGCTAAATCATTTTCTTTTACCGCCGTTGTGTAGGTGGTAATATGCTCATGTGGGTCTGAAGTCCCGTCATACTTTGGCACTTCAGGCATTTTGAACCGCTTTGGGATTAGTTCTGGTGCCGCACTCGGCTTGTACGGCAATTGAGTATACTTCTTCGAGTCCGGACCTTTCAATACTGGTGGCGCGCCCGGGATTTGATCCATGCGGGCGTTTACTTCCCTCATAAATCGTAAAAGTTCATTCTTGAACGGGTCATTCTCGTTGTTGAGACCGGATCCGCTCCCCCAGCTCCGTCGGAGCCAACTTCACCCCTGGGAGTGTTGTTGTCGACTCTCTGCGTTGTTTGGTTTGCAGGAACACCGGGAGGAATTGGATCTCGTCTATTTGCATTATTCGAAGCCCCCGATAGCGCCTGCTTCAGCTACGTCATAACCTTATCCTGCCGTGTAAGATGGCCTAGAATGATCGCCTATTGCTTTTGCAGGACCCTTACCGCATCCACGACATGCTCCTCATCAGCATCATCGGGAGTTGTCTCCCGAACCTGTCGAGGGTTCTGCCTGTCATGCACCGGCATGACGTCATTCCCCTCTTTGCGGGTGTCACTGATTGAATCCTCGAAATGAAGTTGATCCCCTCGAATTTCAGGGTTGTGCGTGTTTGTTAACAGTGTTATCTGCCATTTTTTGTGATTTTTTCTAAGACAAAATAATCAAATCACATTAGTAAAAAAGGCAATGATCAATTTAATTGCACGGTTATCTAGGCCCCATGGTGGGTGCCAAACTGTTTACCCATAAAACGGTACAGTTAAATTTATACGTGGTTTCTAGACAAATGAACTAATTTGATCCTGAAATAATGCAATAATGGAATAAATGTATAATACTTAGCCTTAAAATGTAGATGAAACAGCAGAGATGACAGTTCCGGGAACAAGGTTACCGGGTACAGCGATGATGAAATCAAAAAGCGAAAAAATAAGATTGTATTAAGCTTTGTATAAAATGTAGTGTAAGTTTAGCGAGAAAATTCGTGTCCTTTACAATGATAACTGGGCTCACTATTTATAGTTGTGTCTAGGGGATGAGGTCCTAGGATCGTGCCCTCCTTTAATGTCAATTATGAGGTCATTGATGAAGATGTAACGGTGAACATAAATACTAAATTCTCTGTAACGGCTCGTCGCTCTTAATGCTGCAGAATATTCCTTATTAAATGCTACCGGGCGCAGAGCATTTAATACACCTTTATGAACGTTATCCCTTCCGGTGACGAGCGGAATGGTTGCGTTCGGTCTTCGGCCATCCCCGTCTTGGGTTCCACGTGTCTTTCCTTTAGATAACCACGTGTCATATCATATTTCACCCTATACAAGACTGCGGTGAAAAAGAAAAACTCAGTGTTTTAAATCATTCATATAGCAGAGAATCTAGGACATTAGTGGCTCTTCCAAATAAATTCATTGACATTCTTAGACTATAACTATGCAATGTGCTTAATAAGACATTGGTTGCTTCTAAGTTAAGAGACAACCGACAGCCTCCAGATTCCCTTGATGTGGAACAGTGGAACCAAATCCAAATCAAGCAATGATGATGACTTCTTCTTTGGACAGATTTCACTGTCCTAAGTGCTTCTTCAAATTGAATGACAAAATGTGAATCAATAAAACTAGCCTAAAGAATAGTCAATTCATGTGATCAGGGATGGGACCTCTTGCTTGTCCCTTGTTTAGGCAGTAGGACGAAACTTTTCCAACTGAAATTGGTGTAGAAAGGATTCTTTTTTTTTTTTTCGATAAGGTAAGATTTTAATAATAAAGGTACCAAGATGGTACAAAAGCAAACAATCCAGCTGGATTACAAAAGAACTTTTTTTTTTTTTTTGATGAAGTAAGATAATATCATTGAAAGGGCATGACGAAGATGCCAAATTACAAGAACAGAAATTATGTTAGCTCCCATACAAAAGACAAAAACATTGTAAGCTCCAGTACCTATGCTATAACTAGGGAGCTAACAAAATCCAAAAAAGTGTCTACGCTATTAACAGGGGAAAGAAAGTTCCAACTGAACAAACTAACTAAACATCTACTCCCTCCTTTTCAATTTAGATGAGTTAGTTTGACTCGGCACGAAATTTAAGGAAAAAAAAAGACTTTTGAAACTTGTGGTCTTAAAAGCTTAAGGGGTAAAATATTTGTGGAGCCATGACATTTGTGTGGTTATAAAAGCTTTCCATTAAGGGTAAAATGTGTAAAATAAAGAGTTTAAAGTTGAATTATTTTCAAATTTAAAAATGTGTCATTTATTTTGGAACAGACTAAAAAGGAAAGTACCTCATCTAATTTGAAACGGAGGGAGTAGCTTTTAGGGAATGTGTTGGAGTTGATATTCCATCAAAACATCAACCATTTCTTTCCTTCCAAACAATCCAAAATATGACTTCTGGGATCATTCTCCATATTCTTTTGATGGCTTTGTCAACTCTCCAAAAAATTCAGCTAATATAGGCTTCCTTGGTGGTGTGAGGCATGATCCAAGTTATACCGAAAATGGATAGGAAGAAGTTCCAAATATCAGAAGTGACTGGGCAATGAAGAAACAGATGGTTAACACTTTCTGATTTCTGTTGGCACATATAACATCTGATGACTAAAGTAATGCTCCTTCTGCTAAGATTGTCCTGTGTTAAAACAGCTTCATTGAAGGCAGTCCATGTGAGGCATGCATGCTACTTTGAGTGGCATTCTGGTCCTCCAAACATGTTTCCGGGGCCAATCCTCTAATATTCTATTCTTTGAGCAAAAAGATTCTTTTGTTTCCTTTGAAAGGCAGAGATTAACACTGGCAAGGGAAACAAATACGTAACTCATTATTACAATCAGAACTTATCCTTCTGACAATTTTTTAGTTCAAGTCATCCAACAGACGAGGTATCCTAAAAAAGTCATCTGTAGTGTATCTAATCGGACAAGAAACCCTAGCTGCAGTCACAGCCATCTCGTGTATTTTCTAAACAGCTGCTTTCCAGTTCCCAAGCCTAGGAGTATACCATTTTCTAATGAGCAGGACAAAGCAGAGCTTTTAATGTGAATTTTCATTTTGTTCGCATGATGAGGTCCAGATTTCATCAGTTAGCAGAGTTTGATGAAGCTAAAAGGAGTTGCCGGAGGCGTTTGGCAGGTCATAATGAGCGCCGCCGTAAAACTTCATATGATTCTCATGGAGAAAGTTCAAGCTGAAGCAGCATCAGCAAATGGCAGGGAATCGCCTACTTGTGGACTGATGCACAGTGAATCCCTCTAAAGTTCAAGCTGAAGCATGCTCTCTATCTTCTGTCAATTTCTGGTTTCTAAACAAATTGTTATTTGTCACCTTCAAGTATCTAGCTAGTAATTCTTCCATTTCCTTATGAAAAGGGAAGGACTAAAAGAATAAGTTGATGAATTGTCTGCTAGTATTCTCGAAATGAAATATTTATAGCCTGTATACATTTCACATGGTGCATGAAAGTCTTCCGTGTTGACATTCCATCTCGCTTTATGACGTTTCTATTTTTTATTTTTTTCTTGTAGTTATAATCCATGTACTTCCATAATTTTTTTTATAACCGAAAAATCCCCGAGGGAAAGTGGTGCACGGTTCGAAACTCAATAGATAATGGGTCTGCCCCTCTACGTTTCTCCACTTTTATCTACAGCTGGGTTCAAACCCGTGATGTGTCCCTAACCCACACATCACGAGCTGAACCTCTTACCACTAGACAAAGCCCTTGAGTCACTGTACTTCCATAGCTTAGATTCTTGCTTTATGCAAACAGAACAGCTCTGAATGAACGTCATAAGCATAAATTCTACGAGATAAATAGGTATACATGCCCTGTTAAATTGAGGCATCTTTCAGCTTCGACTGAAATCAGGTATACTAGAGTTGGCAAACGGTATGTTTGATTGAGGTCAACGTACGTTGCCATAAGCTAAAAGCATTACGCTTTAACATTTTTAATTTAATGTACATCATCGAATATAAATGAGACCAGTAATCTACTAAACAAAGGTGAGTGGAACTTTGAAGAATATGCACACAAATATCAAGTGATCACCATTTATTTTTTGGGTAAATAAAGAATTTTATTACCAAGTAGAGAAATATACAGGTCAGTTGCCAAAGAAGGAAAAAAGAAAGAAACATTTTTTCTTAAGCATTAACAAATAAACTTCAAATTGGCCGTCAATGGAAAAACAGATAAAATTATAGGACAAGCCATGTACCAGATATCTTCAAAACTGTGCTAACATCGTTTGGAGTTCTTCTCCTTAGTGATATTTAGCCCTTAAAATGGCTTGTGCCAGGGCCGAGAAAACAGTGTGTCAAAATAGTGCACCTGCATAGACTTTGTATCACAAGCTATCCTAACATCTACGAAATGATATACCTGACAAATACATGCTAGAATTTTTCAAAATTCATAGTTGCTCTAGCCGTCAAGCACTTAACTTCATTTCAATAGGTGCATACACAGAACTGCGAATTGCTAACAGCTGATCAAGCATAACCTATATGATGCTCCCACCAAACAAGATTAGAAGTTCTCACGCACTTTTTAGTTAATGGTGTACTTCCCCACATAAGTTAGTTTTCCATCTAATAATCTGTTTTACTAAGAGCTTAACAAAGTTTTACGTCAAGAATCATCAACTATCAAGCATTTAAAAAGAGAAGATGAGTATGTTGTTCCCTGAAAAAAAGAAAAAAGAAAAGAGAAGAAAAAGAAAGCGCCTAATTTGTTACCCTAATTTAATCATATTCAGTAGCAAGGATGAACGACTTGATTATAAAGAGTTTTAAGAATAACGTTGTCCACTTATATTGCATAGCAAGGATTTTTGAGTATTGGACTTGAGTATTTTTGCTCAATTTCCCAAAACTAACACAGCATTTGGAAACTAGAATGACAGAAACAGATTTTCTATTAATAAGAGAAATTTTATTCCATGAAAACAGCATTGACAAGTGCCTGCTTAAGGATCTTTTTCAATTTAACCTTTTGAGCCATGTCCTTTTCTTTTCCAGCACATCAATAATTCCCTAGCAGCTTTTAGCATGACTCATTCTACACCAAAGATGCAAAGAAAAGATTCCAAAGTTGTAGGGCTACTGACAATGCAGGAAGAGATACGTGGTGTCTTCAACATCATTTTCACACATAAAAAATCTTTCATAAATGTACATCCCTCTTTTCTGCAGATTCTAAACAGCATCACAAGAAACAAGCCTGTTTAAGCATGAGTTGCTATATGCGGGCGCAACTGCTCTAAATCTTCTGCCATGGCCAAGGCTTAGTAATTTACCCACGCCTTCAATAATTTGTCTTAGATGCTCTCCAGGGGCAGAGCTAAAGGAAGGCAAGGGAGTTTAATAGAATCCCTTACGCTGAAAATTGTACTACACAAATAATGCAAAACTGAACTTTTATCATTATATATGAACTGTTGAATCCCCTAGACATAAGGAAAGATTCTAGTGGTAGTGGCCAAGGGGGTTCAAAAATTGCTTTAAATCAGAGGATCAAATAATCTCTAGTATTTTTTTCAATTCCCTTATATGAATTTCTGGCTCCACCTGTAATGGTCTCTATACCGTACACTTATTTTACACCACATACATGGTTAAAACCAATACATATCAGCTAAATAATCAAAAGATCAATGCAATTATTGAGCAACGTAAAAATGCAAGTTCGCAAAGGGGCAATAATTAGGGTTGAAGAATGCACCTTGACGGTATCAAAATTCAAAAGGATGACCGGTAATAACAGTATAAATTCCGGCCATAAGACCTGCCACATAGTCCTAATAACCGGAGCTTGCCTCCATCTCCAATTCTTCTCTTTTGCTCCAACAACTCAACTAGTATTAGCTTTCTCTCTATCGCTGGTTTTTTGAAAGGTTTTTAGCTCATTGTTACTACACTCCAAGATTTTGGGGTTGTAGGGGGGGGAGGGG